AAGAGGTGAGTGAAGTCAACTGAGTAGTGAGTAACCCTGACCAGGTCTTCCCCAAACACCAGTCTAGGAAAACCCAGCTGAGAACGGCTTTGCTTTCTTCTTGCTCAGCCCCCAACAAGGAGTCCATTGTTTGCACTCCAACAATTACAGATCTCTGCTTTCTGTCGGGGTCATGGGATACGAAAAAGCAAGTCGTTCTGGCGTTGGGTCCTTGAATGATGCAAGCTGTAGTGGGCGAGGCAGCGGAGACCGACAGAAAAGGGGCTTTCTTGCAAAATTTCCATTTGCCTCATCTCTTCAGCTTGCCTTAGGGGAGCCATCAGTGTTGTAACGAAGGACCAGCAGCGTTTCCCGGAGCCCCAGTGAGTCAGCTGGGGATGTTCGGGGAGGAAGGGGTAAGGTTAGGAGGTTCTGCGTGCCGTCGCTGGCGGACCACAGCAACGTCCAGGCAGCAATGCAGCTCCACAGACTGGGTGAACTGGTTCTCCTGTATCAGCCGTGCGTCACTCCTTGGCTGCCTGCCCTGGGGTTTGTGCCAGCTGGGACAAGCTTCTTCCGTGCACTGCGTGATCCTATTCTGCCCTGAATTCTTCTGAAAGAACGCTTCCAAGCAGGAGACTGAAAAAGTTGTAAAGAACAGTTAACAATTTCTAGCATGAATTTCTTGGAATAATCCTGGCAACCTTGTGTGTAATTTTAGATGTGTTTGAGAGGTGTTTTGAATAATCATGAAGGAATTATTTGATCTCTTCCTTCCCAAAAACAATTGCTCAATTGTATTTGTAAAAGATTTTTTTTTTTTTTTTTTTTGAGATACAACAGAAACCTGTTTAATCAGGTGTACTTACGCTTTTGACTTAAGGTCTATCTTTAGCAGTGCAAAGGACATTACTTGTGCTGCTTTTCCTGAGAAGTTTCATCTTAGATCTGGGAATGGGCTGAAGGTTTTGCAGTGTTGGGGGAAAATCTCTCCACTGGATTTTGAACTTGCTTTAAGCACTGGGAAGGCTTAAGGGGAGTGCTTGAAGATTTATGTTCTGAAATATTTTTCTTCTCCAGTTTTGAAGTTTAGGTTTGGGACTCATCTGCAAAAATAAAACAGGGTACAGATAGTTAGTTGCCTGAAATGCCTTCCACTCCTGAGTGACCCTGCTCTTCAGGCTTTAAAAATCTTCACTTTAAATTAAAAATTATGGGTAAAGTCCTGGGAATTTCTCAGTTTGTGAGGGGAAAAATCTGAACTTTCTTTAAGTCAGGTCTATACTCAAAGTCTTTTTATTTTTATCTCATTATGCTTCCTTTTTCTGCTTGGAAGCAGAAGTTTGGAAATTTTAATAGACCCCTTGCTGGCTGTGTTTCATCTCTGACCAGTACCCAGACAATCCTGAATGTTGCAGTAAAACCTACTGTGAAAGTGCTGGTCTGTATTTGCATTGATGAAGTTTGGACAAGAATCTTCTGAACTCAGCACTGGACTCTGATGTTGGCTTATTGTCATGGAGCTTTGCTAGTCCTGGCTTTATACCAGGACTAGCAAACCCCTGTAAGTTGGCTTCACAATGTGGTTTTGAGTTTGTTACTAGCAACAAGGTTTTTCTTGGTTTCCCACAGTTGGTCTGTATTTAGCATTTCCTGTGCGTGCTTCCTTTGCCTTGAGCATGCTGAAAATGGGTAGAAAACCAGAGGAAGAATGTGTCTGTTGTCTAAATGGCTTGAAGAAGGATATTGGAGCATTCTTTTGTGTACAGCATCCTATAGGAAGATTAAATTATGATGCAGATGGTCCTTGGACTGTCTTTAGAAGTTCAGAACTACTTGCAAAGGCAGGGACTAGAGTTATGCAAAAGAGTAGGGCTTTACAGCTTCTGAAGATGACAAAGGATTACCTTTGCACTTTGCACATTAACTTTTACACATTAACTAAGTCACGAGACTGTTCCGTCGTGCACATTTTGTCCTGACATCGCTGCTGAACGCAGATGACTCATTCACTCACCAAAAACGTGGCTTATGCTTTATTTGTACCTCCGCTATTCAGTCTGCGCTGCCTTTCCTGCTGTAAAGTCACCTCTGCTCCATTTCCCCAGGATCTGCCTTCCTCCATCACGAACCTTTCTGAGGGTCTTGTGGTCCTTCTGGTTTTCTCTTGGGACCGTGGGCACTCAGCGGTTGATGACAACTGTGGTGGGACATCCCAGCCTGGGTGCTGAGCGGTACCAAAGGCTGATGGCCTCAGGAAGAACCTTCTCAATGACTGGCTGTGCCCAAATGCAAGAGCCTGGTTTAAAAGCGCACGTGCAGGAGGCTTCGTGCTGCTGGTGGCCAGCTCCACCTTTGGTTGAGGGTGACAACCTAGGAGTATTTTCTGTAGCCTGGAATTCATAAAGCCATGACTCAGCTCTGTGTTGGGTTTGTGGTGATGGCGGCAGCAGAGAGACCAAGGATGAAGTGATCCGGGGTACGAGCACAGAGGCTGGGAGCATCGCCATGATGTGTCCGTGTTCGTGGCAGAGGATTATGGACTTGGTGCATGCTGGGGAGTCATGGTGCACCTGCCTGAAGTTTCCCAAAAACCTGAGAAACTAGAATACCATTACTCTCCAGCCATACACGTGTTCACCAGGAAGGCTTCAAAATCCAGCGACAAGTGCAGTCAGGGGTTACGGTCAGGATGGGACGACTATGACAGTAACTGTGGCATTATTCATGTAACACTTTTTGCCACGCGAAAGTAGGGAGAAGATTTTAAGTCAGCCCAGAGCATCAGGCTCTGCTGTGGTCACTTGGGTGTTTTCCACACCTTCTATGGGAGCAGGGGCCAAACTGAACCCTTTCAGGAACTGTATGAGCTGCTTCCTGTGCTGGTGCTGGCCCAGCTGAGCAGAACGCTTCTGTGGCTAATAAAAGACCCTGCATCCCCTGTCTTGAATCTGCATTGTCTTCACTGGGTTTGGGGCCAACGTGGTCAATCACAGTGCCCAATAGTCCTAGAAAGTGTTGGAAATAAAGGATATATTGGGCAAATCCCATCATCGCATTTTCTCCATTATGATGGATAGTTAGCCCAGAAACGTTTCTTCCTTCTCCATGGCTGCCCTTGCCCAGATGAAGCTGTTCCAGAACGGAGAATAGGTGGACAGTCTCACATGCATCCAGCTCTCCAGGCCAGACATACAGGATGGACTTTTTGATACACCTTTGATACTTCATACACCTCGCTCTTTTCGTGCAATCGAAGGCAAGGCAGGATGGAGGTGCAGTGTCCCCAGCCCCACCTGTAGTGCTGTTACCCCTTTTTGGGGTTCTGTCCCAGTTTCAGTACAGGAGCACCGTGTTGCAGGAGGAAGAGGCAAAGTGAGAAGACGGTGGCACCCCATGAGCAAAGGTGGTCTCATCCTTTCCCTGCATCCCTAAAAAGGGGTGGGAGGAAGAAGCCCTGGTCATTGTACACCTGCAGACAAGGAAATGTGAAACAGATTTTCCTCAATGAGGAGAAAAGTTAAAGGAAGTTTTAGGAACTGCTTTAATCATTAGCACCACCTGAAAACCCAATGTGTGTGGAGAAGAAAAAAAAAAAACAAAACCAAACCTTTTGAGAATCGGTGATCCTATTCCTTTTCCTGGCATCTCACTTTGCAGAGGACGTGCCGTATCTGAGCCCCAGCACAGCAGGATCTTGCATGACGTGTGCTAAATGGCTCTAAGGGTTAGTTTGATCCTGGTTTCATTACTTGGTGCATCTGATCCTGGTAATTTTGAGGTACAGGCAGCGTCCAGGAATGCGAGAGTGATATGGGATAAGAGCTGAAATGAAGGATGTCCCCTGCCCTTGGAGGTAATTGAAGGGCAGGCACCAGACCTGGCTGGAAGGGAAGGAGCCAAACAAGGTAAAGGAATTAGCAAGTCCTCCTAGCTTCAGTGTGAGGAGCATGTGATTTAATTAAAAAGTACAGCACTGGGGGAAGTAATGAACTGCTCGTAAGCTGCATGATGAAATCCAGCTGTAGACTATGGAAAACAAGCAGGCTGGTTTCCCTCAAGTTTCCAGAACATGAGTACGGACAGTGCTTCATTTTTACAGGCATCACCTTGTGCTGCAGCGTTACAGAGGGTGGATGAGCGGTTGTAACTCTTCAGATAATTTTTTTTACGCCGTTGGCGCGGCGTTGGCAGGGCTTCGCCGAGTCTGACGGTGTTATCTCCAGGGCTGTCCCCAGTACTGCAGATAAAAACCTTCAGTCTCCAGGGCTGCTGTCACTGGTGCACTGTATGTTGGCATCAAAACGTCCTTTTGGAGGAGAGATTTATTTTAGAGGATGCAGAAACCCGTTTCCTCCGGGAAAAGGAGGGACTGTGTTTTGCTGGCATCAAGAACACTCGTGCCTGTCTTAGCGGTTAATGGTCTTGTGAGAGTTGAAAGGATGAGCTTTTCTCAAAAAAAAAAAGCCCCAAATCAACAACCTACCCCTGTGGTGATCATCTTAAAAGTCATCCCCTCCGAATGCACTGTTGGGTAGGACATAGGTGGTCTTGGGTAGGCAGAGTGAACTTGGCCTCTGCAGAAACGCTGGCTGATGCACATCCATAGATTCCTGTCTCTCAGCTCGGCTAAAGCAGTGCTTCTTTGGTAATGGAGTGATTTATGGGAAGTGGATTCTGTCTCCTCTGTGTTAAAGTTTGGATGGGTAGCTAGTTTCAGACACATGTTTGGTTTTTTTTTCCCCCCTATGTCTTTGCATACTGCAGTGTCGTGGGTTGGGCTGCTGTGGCAACCAAACCCTACGCAGTCGCTCACTCTCCCAGCCCCAGGGATGAGGGAGAGAATCAAAGAAGAAAAAGAAAAGAGACACGTGGGTTGAGATAAGAACAATTTACTACTACCACTACCATTACTTCATTACTTCCGAAGTTAAAATTTTAATTATGCCATCACAAACTTACTTTCCTGGGCAGGTGCTTAATAAATAACTGCTAATAACTTTATTTTTGTTGCATTTCAGGCGGCAGCAGCAGGTCTCAGCTACGTTGGGGGATATGTCATTAACACCTACAAGAGCTATGACAACTTTCTGCAGGACAAGTACGCTCTGCTGCCAGCCGTGATCATTATTTGCGTTGCTGTGTTCATGTTCATCATTGGGTTGATCGGCTGCTGTGCCACCTTCCGGGAGTCTCGAGTTGGCCTGGGGCTGGTGAGTGTTGCATGTTCTTAAATGTCCTCTTCTTCACCCTGTTGCATGGTATGGGAGGTGCTACACTAGACCTTCTCAGGACGCACAGAACAGAAAGTAAAAGATTGTTCCGAAATACACTGCTGAAGCACTGCTCCTTTGTGGGAGCTGCCTACTGCTGTGAGGCACTGATGGATGGAGAGGTGCAAGCTAAATTATTAGTTGCACCTGTACAGACAAACACTTGTAGTCATGGGCAGTTTCATGGGTCTGCCTCACCTCGCTTGCTGGAGGTGAGTGTGGAGAGTAGCAAGTTTTGAGAAGCAAGGTGGTGGTGAGAGGACAGAAGGAGATATGAATTTCCAAAGCAAGCGGAAAAAAAAAAAAAAAGGACTTTTCTGCTGACTTTAGTTCTCTGAATCCTGAAAGCGTGCCCCACTTCTTCTAGAATGACTTTCAGAAAGCTAGAAAGGTTCAAGCTGAGTAACTTCAAGCCCCCAGCTCACACCTGGAAGGCAATATGAGCTCAGCAAACAGCACCCAGTGTACCCAACTAAGCTGCTGGTTTATTTGTGCACTGTCCTGCTCAACAGCCACCTCGTGAAGTGTTTCGTAGGCTCTTGACAGAGATCACATCATGGCAGTGTTCAGGAGGCTGCCTACGTTGGGCACAGATCCTGTGGAACCGCAGTCATAGTCCCAGTCGTTCACAGTAATCTCCTGCTCTAAATCGTTTGCTGGAAACAATTTTGATTGGAGAGGCAACGACAGATAATGATAACTTACCACTATATATTAATGTGATGGGTAATGTGCAGTTGCATTCAAATGCTGTGGAATTCTTCCTTACATTCCCTCTCTCTCTTAATTTCAGTTCTTGGCCATTATCCTGGTTATCTTTATTGCAGAAGTATCTGCTTTTGTCCTGGGATTCGTTTACAGGGAAAAGGTAAGCAAAGAATTAGCATCTCTATACTAACCTAAAAGTAAAGAATAGATCTTGTGTTGTCAGAGCATTCCAATATACCCAGTTTTCTCCTACTTCATCCCCTATCCTGCAGCCTGCAGGGCAAGTGGGAATGGGAATGTCACCATCTGGGATGTGGATCAGTCTTTGTCAGGAAAGTGCTGAACGCATAAAGCACCTGGCAGGCATCACAACAATTTCTAAGTTGGATTAAACAGTTGTTGATGCTCACAAAGGAGAGCTCTTCCATCAGAGGAGCCACGCTTCTATCCAGGAATGAGATTCTGCTTAAGTGCTACCTGCATTTTATCTAAAACATCACTTGATTTTTATTTTTTTAATTTATCTTTTCCCCCTCGACTTAGTTGGGATACAGATCTCTTGCAGTTTGCACTAGATAAAACTCTTAGCTCTCCTGTTAAAATACTGAGTGTTTTCTTTTCCTCCCTAAATAGGTAAAAACTGACGTGCAAGGCACAATGCGGTCAGTCTTTGAGAAGTATGATGGGAAAAATCCAGAGACTACTGTTGTGGATTACTTGCAAGAACAGGTAAGAAAACAACATTTAAATTGTCCTGATAATTATTGAGAAAAGAACACGTGGGTCCTAAAGGAGGAATTTGGGCTGGGTAGGGAGGAGAGGAGGTTTAACTCAGCTCTGCAGCAGTGCTTAGCATCTGATTCTCCAAGGCAATGGAGGGTGCTTCCCACTTTGCAGAGCTGGCATTTTCAGGCTCCTGGTGTGAAATTCTTGTAAATGAATGACCTCTTTGACACGGGCAGCCATCGCATCAGACCAGATGAGTACCTATGAGTAGCTGTGTCTGACAATCCTGTACCGTAACAGAAAGATGGCAGGAGACTCTATCCTGCAAGCTGTCACTTTTACTATCAGAGCTCTCACAAAGAATAAACCAAGAGGGAGGTAATAATGTATGAAGGGAGGTTGATCTATTTTATCTACGGCTGTTTTCCTGAAGTATGGCCTCGTGTAAATCGGCTGCACACTGAGGGCAGCTCTTGCCCAGTATGCCTGAGAGAGGTTTATCTCAACATTAGCATCCGTGTACCATGTCTGTTCATACATCCTTGTAACTGTCCTGTGTCTGGCAGCTTCATTGTTGCGGGGTGAAGAACTACAGCGACTGGACAACCACACAGTGGTTTAATTCCACCGGTAACAACAGCGTCCCCCTGAGCTGCTGCAGGCAGGATGCGAAGAACTGCACAGGGCGCCTGGACCAGCCGCAGGAACTCGATACGCGGGTGAGGACAAAGGGCACAGTTTCACAAGTGGGCCATGATCGTTCTCCAAACCAACCAGAAACAAAAGAGGAAAACACTTCGACATGGTTTAGGGAGAGCTTCACCCAATTCTTTTCAGCAGTTTGTCCTCCAAACCCTTTTCTCCCCATGGTTTTCCTCTACCTAACGTCCTTCTCATGTTATCCTATCAAAGCTCCTAGATGAAGCTGAAAGACAGTAGATTTAGATTGGATATAAGGAAGAAATTTTTCACTCTGAGGGTGGTGAGGCACTGGAACAGGTTGCCTAGAGAAGCTGTGGCTGCCCCATCCCTGGAAGTGTTCAAGGCCAGGTTGGATGAGGCTTTGAGCAACCTGGTGTAGTGGAGGGTGTCCCTGCCCATGGCAGGGGGGTTGGAACTAGATGATCTTTGAGGTCCCTTCCAACCCAAACCGTTCTATGATGAAGGAGGGTCATGAGTCTGGATGTTTGGTCTCATCTGTCTGCTGGTAACTTGTCCATTCCGTGTTGCTACAGGAGCAATGTGACAAGGCCAGCGCGTGAGTTATGGGCACACAGTTGTTCAAACAGACCTGGGGTAGGAAAAGAGGCTCTTCTAGGAGTGACCATGCTGAATCTGGAGAATTGCATACCACATTCTTCAGTCTGGGGCGCAAGACCATAAATTGAATTTTATGAATACCGTTTCTGGTCTTCCTGGCTGAGTTCTAGGCACTTCTTTAAGTGACCTGAGCCAAAGAAGATTCTGAGAAGCAGAAAATGTCACCCCAAGCAAGAGGTGAAAGACAAGCCATCGGGCCTAGAAGACAAGAATGGAAGCCCTCAGGTCTGCAGTGGTTGGTTAGACAGGCCTTGGAAGGTCATGCTTCCTTCTAAGTGTCAGGGAGGAAACAAAAACCTAAAAAAACCCACTCAGCTGAATTCAGTCTTTTGATTTGTTTTCACCCATCTCTTCCATGGCAGGGCTGTGCAGATGAGCTGGAGGCTGGGCTGCAGAGTGTTATCAGCTACGCTATGCTGGTGATCCTGGGGTTTGCCATTGTGAAGGTAAATGTTTTGCCTCTTCCTTCGTGGGAAATAATACTGTTTATCCTTTGATCCTGGCCCTTTTTCTTCTACCAGTTCCTCTTAGCCTACAGCCTTTTCCTGGCCCCCATGATGGCTCTGTTCCTCACTCGCTTTCTACCAAATTTCTCCACTTTGTCTGCATGGTGATAAGGGGAGGGATCCAAAAAGCTAAGGAGGAATTTGAGATGGCAGGTCAGCGGAGAATCCATCTTGGTTTTTTAGCAGGAAGTACAAAAAGCTGGGTGTGCTAAGAGGCCTGGATCTGTAATTCTTTCTTAAAACAATGAGCTTTTCCATACTTAACTGGGATTTAAAAAATGGCTCATCAAAGTTTGGTTGTAGGTGTAACCCAATGAATAGTGCTGTGCTTGGCCACCAGGAATCAAAATGGACTAGAAATATGACTAGGAATGAAAACAGCAGGGCTGTTTATAGAATTATGAGATTGAATTAAATGAAACGTGAAAACAGGTAATCTTGTGGGCAAAAACCAGATTTGAAAAGCGCTGATGTAAAACTCCTCACGATTGGCATATCGAAGAAATGCCTGTGCAGCTTCGTGAATATTTGACCTGTAAATTTTAGCCTGGTGGTTTGTCATTGTTCCCTGTACCTGTTCTCCAAGATGAGTAACCTGTTCCTTCCTGACACTCCTGTGATCATCTCCAAAGATTTCCTTAGCATATTCTGCAATATCTTTATTTGCATATTTTATATGCTTAAATATTTTACAGAACTCATTTTAAGTCCACAATAATCCCATGCTTTCACTGAAACTTTTCCCACAGTAAGATAACAAGGAATAAATGTGGGCGTGTAAATTAACGAGAGAAACCAGGGAGTAAAAAGTTGGGCTGGAACTATTATTGGAAATAGATATGCAAGAAAATAGTTTTCTTTAGATGTATTTTCTAAGCGTTTTTTAACACAAAAAGAATATTGTTGCTATGATGAAAAAGTCTAATAAACATATAGGCGTTGGATCTGATAACTGAAACAAAATACAGGGGAACTAAATCTCTCTCTTTTTCAGTTCTTTGGCATGCTGAGTGTCTGTGTGCTTACTTGCAAGAGAGAAGACAGTGGATATCAGCCTCTTCACTCAGGGGTCTTCGCTTAACAAAATGCAAAGATCACTTTTTTCTGCTTCCTGATGATAAAATGGAGTCGTAAATGTGAACGCTAAAGGACAATTTATGACCTTTTGGCTCAATATTTCATTTTATGCACATGAAACAGAGCATTGTGTATTGATTTGGGGAAGTGTCTTGGGGATGATGTGAAATGGCAATTTCAATATTCAGCGCCCTACAGTGAGGTACCCTGATCTTGCACACCACAGCTTTCTGTAAGGTTATTGTAGATTCGGATTTGTGACTTCAGATAGCACCAGGTGGAGTAATAGGCTCCAGAAAATAAATCTTAACTTCTGCAGCTCTTTCCTCTACCCTTGAAACATGCAGGAAAAAAAAGAGTTATTTTTAATCACTAAACTGACAGGAGGGGTTTCAGTTGTCTGCACAAACATCAGACAATTCCCATGGCGTGGTTAAACAGCAAAAGAAACTCCTGAATGCCAGGTTCAAATATTTTTCATAAGCACGGGGATTTAGAATATGTTTTCTCCATATCTGACGGTATTTCTCCCCCCTCCTTCCTATGGTCATGTTTTGTAATTCCATTTACTGCAGAGGTTGTAGTACAGGACAACCCTACGTTTAAGGTCTAGAGCAGACATTTGAGTTGTCTTTTGAAGCAGCTGGCCAATGTGAACAATCCCAGGTTAGGAAGGGTCGTGTGTTCTGAGTTTTTGGGCTCACGACATCTCTCTTTGGCTTGTGTGGGGTTGTTTTTTGTCTTTTTCTTTAATTATTATTATTTGACATTAAAAATTTCTTATGAAGCAGGGCTTTTGAAGTGTTTTTTCCTCCTTTTACTGATGCTTTTGTGGTTTGTCTAAAAGACAGACTATGCCTCTGTTTAGTGCAGATGCTGCAAGGGTTACTGAGGCAGATGTAGGCTGGAAGGTGGGAGTCACAGGACAGGGCGGCTCGATGCGGTTGTGCGGACGGGACTGCTGGAGGGGTTCGTGCGGCCGTCCCTGGAGATCTGACTGCCTTTTACCACTAAAAATGAGGAGACAACGCGTTCTTGCACCGAGCAAGAGGTCTCAATAACCTACTGTCTGGTGGCGTCACATGGCTCCTCGTTTACTGGTTTTCCTTCCTCCCTAAAGGTCTGCGGAACGCGGTCAGTTCTTGGATTGCATCACCGCTTTAAAAATGGTCCTTTGACTCATCTGTCTCGCGTTTTTTAGGGGTTTTTGAATTGTTTTTTAGAGTTGGGGAGGCAAGGAACAACTAGCTGTTCATTAGGGAATTGTGGCAACAGGTTTTGCGTGTTTTCTTTGGAGAGATAAGCTGTCTATGCGTAGCAATAAACCTTGGTATTTGTAGCTCGTTTAAAAAAAGGAGTTTGGGGAAATCGCAGGCTGTTTATCTTCTTCCCGCCCCCATCGCACGGGAGAAAACAGCAATGAGTGATGGTGATGTTCCGTAGGGGACACACACCAGGATGAGTACGTAGATGTTGGGAAGTGACTTCATGTTTTATCGAGGGCTTTGTCTTCTGTTGAATACCGAAATAAACTGAGTTTATGGAACCAATTCATAAATGCTGTGGCGCTTTTTTTGTTGGTGGGAATACTGGTTGC